CAGGTGGTTACTATTCGACTTCTGTTTTGTAAACATTGATATTCTTTATTATTTGGTGGTGTCGATATTTTTTTTTTTGTATTTTTCTAATGGGGATAATTTTAATTTATTATATTATTTTTTCCCTTTCGGTTTAAATAAGGTATTCAAGGTTTCTTAACATAAAATGGTGTTTCAGTTTTCTGTGAAAATATTTGATGAATTATAATTTGTTTAAATATTTGTTTTAAATGCCTTTTAGAATTTAAATAAATTATCACTCATTTTTTTAAAAAAAAAATCGATTTCCTTTATATGCTTTTAGATACATTATATTTCAATTTCTCAAAGCTAAAAAAAAATTAATTTTTTTTAATTTCAAGTTTATGAAAGCTTTATATATGAAGCTTCTTTAAAATTAGTATTCATTGAGCTTGCTTACTTAATGATTGTATATTTTAATAGAAACTTAAGCTAAATAAAATCTAACTATTCAACTGAGTCATTTGAATCCATATTTTTATTTACTAATAATCCGTTGTAATTATATTTATAATTTTTTTAAAGTATTCAACTCAAGCTATGTTAGTGTTGATAATTTTTATGAAAGGAGAAATGCGTTTTAACGCAACATATTGATTTGTGAATTCAACAGAATTTATTGTTTAAAGGTAACTGTGCATTTTTAGCATATCAGCATTCCAGTTTTTAAATTTATAAACATTAAAGTCTCTTAAGTTTAGGCAATGTATTAAAAATGAATATATATTATGAACAAAATCAAAAATTAAAGGGGGGGTGCGACTTTTGCACACAATTGGCCCATGTAAATATATGCGAATGTTGAATGTTCAATCGTACGGGGATGTAAAAATATATGCTCCCAAAATTGTTAAGTATTTGTATCAATATGTGCAATTTTGATTTTTCTAACATAAATTTTGAAGAGATCTTGGGTGTCCGGGTGCTGTGTCCGAGATTAAAAATTCTTTAAGTTCGAATTTATTCCTTTGTAGCTTCGCTTAGTCTTCGGCGCAGGATGAAAGTCGATCTTAAAATATTAACGCAATAACACAACTATTTTTATTTTGATTTCCAAATGACCGGATTGATTTTCTTTCTTTCCTTTTTAAACATCTGGGTTTTTCTGCTTGAGTAAACTAGTAATGACCTTAATTTTAAATCGGATGTTGAATATCCTTTGTCAAGCATTGTCAATTGGTTTTGGGAGGATTTACGTCCAGGGTCAACTGATCCATACTTCGATAAGAATGTTCAATTAAGTTTCTTTTGTAAAATATGTAAATGAAACTGATTTTAAAAGAATATTCTCAACTTGTAATAATTTCAAATAGTCAGGAAATGAATAATTTTGTGGCATCTTTATTCGCATCGGCAGATTCACGAGTAAATTTAATATTACGCGTAAGAAATAACTCATTTTAAATCGTCAAACCAGCCGTTATTTGCTTAAAACACAGTTTCAGTACCTTCATTTAATTTAGTCTTCTAACCTTCATACAAATTAAGAACCTTATCTTGAATAATTAAAGAAATTAGAGGGGCATTATTTTGCTGTGTTTTGGCCATCAACTGATGATGACAGATCTCTCCATTTCATCCAAATCCATGTCGTGTCTTCTGGAAACACAATCTTTGAAGATATTCTTCCCCAATTTTGTACATATTACTTAATTTTATTTTTTATAACTGAAAGTTTATTTACTATTGACAGAAATATTTGACGTCAAATTTTTAAAAGTGTGCAAAATTCGAGGGCCGCTTGGAATCGTATTGGGAACGAGTTTTCAACTTCTGGCACTTCGAAAATTTTTTTTGAAATGGGTCTTTTAGAAAAACTAAATTTAAAAATATATATATACAGTTTAACTATCGTAATTTTAATTCGATTATTCGGAAAAATCCCTGTAAAAACTTATACAAACTTGTTAAGTTCAAGAATCATTAAATTATTAGTTTTTGAGATTAAAAATTTAACGTCTAATTTTTTAAAAAAAAATGTTCGATATATTTTATTTTATAAGTTAGAATTTAGTTTTAATTTTCATTGCCTTTATTAAAAAGTTTGAAAATTTATTTCTTCAAAATTTTCCAACTAAACATATTTTACTCTTTTTGAAATAAAAATCTGTCATTCACAATTTTTGCTTAAAATCCAAAATTTAAAAATTTCTATTTTTTTCGATACTAAATAGAAGTTCAACAGCTTTAAAAAATGGTCTTTTGATGTATACCTTAAAAATGAAGAGTTTTATGATAAATTAATGCTTTATATGAAATCGCCTTAATACATAAAATATTCCTGTTCAATTTATAGTTCTCATAAATTATAATGTAACTTCAGCACTCTTGTAAAGTAAAGTCCTTTTGTTTTATTTTTAGAAATTTTTAAAGTATAAAAACATGCCCCTTTTTTTTGTACAATGATTGTAATATTCAATATGAAAAAAAAAAGTTTCTCTTGAGGCCACGTGTATGCAGTCGCAGACTTTATAGCTGCAATATTGAAATTGAGTTCAAATTTCAAAACAGATCAGTGAAATGAGTTGTTCCAAGTAATACATTAAACTGAATCTCAAAGTTCTTTCGTATAATAAAAATTAAACTGCTCATTTGGAAATAAGTTTTGGGTACGAGAGGATTATATATTGAATTTAATTTTCCTCTTCAAATGTTGACAAAGACTATGAGATAATTTTCCATTGTTTCAAATTCGCACACACACATATTTCCCACCATTCCAGTTTCATTGGATTCCGTTGTTTCAATGGATACAATCGGTTCAACCAATCATTGTAAAGCTTGTGGTAAAAATCGTAATGATTTTGTAGATTTGTTTTCAGTGTTTCCTGTGTAATATTATATCATTCGGAAAAATAGCCGGTAAAAAGAATTAATACAATATTCCATAAATCTTTACCAAAATAAATTTTGTCGTATTTAATCGTATTGGATAGATTCTTTCAACAATTGAAGATCAATAATAGTGAAATCGGTGACGTGATAGCCGTAAGAACATTTCCCAGAAGAATAGTAGCTGCGGTCGCCAAGTGGTCAAGGTAACGGACTCGTGGCTGGCGTGCCATGAGTTCGAGCCCAATACCACTGAAGATCCACCGTGCAAGAAAGCGATGCACGTTAAATCTGTCGGAAGTTCAAACGTTCTCTTGTTGGTGTGGTGCGGTAGTTAGGAGAGGGGGGCAGCTTGGGTGTCGTTCTCGTCACTTGACCATGGTTCAGAATTACGAGGTCCGTCGCCGAAAGCCCTCGCGTAACTGAACAGCGCAACGTTAATATTCACTCATTCAGAAGTAAGAATAAAAATTCATATTATATTAACATTATAAATATTATTGATTTTTTTAAAAACAAATGGGTGTGCCAATTAACGGTCAAAATAAACTTTAAAAAGTGGTTCAGCAATATAAAGAATTTTGATAAGATCAATTATCTCTATATGCCACGTTGTGTACTGAAATAGCAGAAAATCATTACAATGCTCATGCATAAAGATAACAGCATTTGGCGACTATTTTTGTTTTGCGAAATTGGTGGATGGTATAATGGGTTAGCACCAATTTTTATACGTAACATTAATAGAACTTTTGAGCATTGCAACGAACAAAACACACTTTTGAAATTAAAAGAAATCTGTCTTAAAATAATTGTATTGACATTTACAGAGTCGAAATCAATCTAGAAATACAAATTTTTTTTTTATAATGGGTTGCATGTTGGCAACTTAGCTTTGCAGACACGGAAAGTCAACAAATGTGAGCCGTTTCATAGTGGCGCACCGTCTAGTGGCGAGCACCATCTCGTTACAAATTTTGACGCTTGAACTACTTTTTATTCCCACTCTCGTCGGATGCTAAATATTGATATGGTTTAATTTTTTCCGAGAGTACCAGAGCCAAAAGTTGATACTCAAGCAATCTTTTACGTACCATATAATCATGTGACATGCGTGCCTACGATTTTCGCATCCAGAAAATCTGTAGAATTCAATCGGAATCGAACCCACAACCTTTGGCTTAGCTGCGTGGGATAACTTCACCCAAATGGCTTTCTGTGAAAATATACATTCATTCCTGAAATACACGCGTCAAGAATATGATGATCGGAACGCATACTGGCATAACATTGATACTGTGAAAACTCTACCTAAAAATTTTTCTTACCACAACTGACAGAAAATTGCAAGGCACGTAAATGACTCTTGTACATAATTTCGAGCAACCAGGAACCATTTTTTCTTTTCATAAAAAGGTTCTAAATGCAGTTAGAAATGCAAAACAATGCCTTTGATTTTTCCTTCTCCTACAAATATTAATTCTGAGTAACACAGCAGTAATAATATAAAGTAATTTATTTAAGGAATAGTTGAAACTTTTTGTGTGTGTAGAACTCACTGAATAAAACAAAGTTGCTCAGATATCTGATGGAGTTTAAATACAATAAATGGATAGATTTAAGCTTATGTGAATGTCATCTAATTCCTTCAAAAAAACTATTTCAATTCAAAATCGTTCCCAAGGAGCACTCCCTAATGATGGCGCCAAATAAGTCGCCATAACTCTTGAAATCTTTGACTAATTTTCGTTATGCTGTTAATCACTGATTATAAATGATTGGTATGGGTTAGAAACTATCAGATTAAAATAAATGTAAAGTTTAAGCTCTCTGAATATTTTTGACACAAATATTTGGTATTAAATACTATTTTCTTCTTTGAATCATTTTTTTTTCAATTCCTACAATTAGTTCATACTCATCCTATATATACTTGTATAAATATCTTGTTCCAATTTTTAATTGTTAAAATATTTTTTATTCATCCATTTAAGTTCAAATACATTTTTTTCAAACTTGTAGTGGATGACACTGGATGTCAATACAGTTTTTTCAAATATTAATTCATTAATTTAATTAATGAATAAATAGTACCAAACGAAAATAATAGTCCAACACCCTACATAAAAAGGAAAATCGCTCGTTGTGTCCTTGTAGTGCAATGGATAGCGCGTTGGACTTCTAATCCAAAGGTCGTGGGTTCGAATCCTACCTGGGATGGCCAAATTTTTGAGAATGCGATTTATGAATAAATAGTAACAAATAAAAATAAGTCCAATACACACACACCATAGATAGAAAGGAAAAAGGAAAATCGCTTTCTATTTTGCCACTTAATAGTGTGATTCGTCATATGTATATGCATATTTAGTCAGATAGGTAACATTAGCCACACAACAAAACAACATATGCATATTTATATTAATTGTGTTTAGTTAATAAAAATAAACTAAAATAAAATTTTTCTTTATTAACCTGAATGGGAATTGACCAAGACCAAGTGATCATTTTCTACTTTCAAGTATTGAGATTTTTTTTAGATCAAATCTTATTCTTAATATTTATCCCGTTTTTAAAATATTGAATGAACTCTTTATATATATTAAAGGGCAGAAGAAACCATACTAAGTGCGCTTAAGGTATCCGACTATGTTCGGAAACATGATTTTAAAAAGGCGCATAAGTAGATAATTTTCATGATATTTAGTATCACTTAGGTTAGAATACATGTATAAAATTCTTTTAAGGATATTCTGGCAGAAAAAATTATTTAAATACAATATTTCGGTAAAAAATTAACTTAGAATAACCTTTTTTCAAAATGTTCTATTATAACAATGTTTTGCCTGTATATAGCTCAGACCTCTGTACAGAGGCTCAACTATGATTTTGAAAAATTCACATTATTTTCAGAGGTACAACCATTTAAAATAATTATCGGCGTTTTTTTTCTTAAAATTTCTCCCTTCTGTTGTCGTAAAACGTACATTAACTCACTTCTGTTATGTTTCAAAAATTCTAGTTGAAAATCTGTACAGAGGTCTGAGTTACACTGGCCTCAAAAAGTTAAGGTACAACATGTTTTTCGAAGCTCACCATAAAAAAAAATGGCAGTAACAATAAAATGCATAGTTTACATGAATGATAATAACGAACACTTTAAAAACATTAATGCAAAAACGATTGCTACCACTTTTATTTTATAGAAAAGAACGTATATTTATGAGTGAAAGAAAAATATGCAAATATCAAGCTTTCGTACTTTTGTGTGTAAGTTGTGTTGATTTTCAACAGTTGTTGGCAGTTTCGGTGACAATAGTCAATAAAGTTTAGAAAATGTCTCAGAGACGTCGTTTACCCAATTCGTTAAGGTGGCGGGCAGTTGGATGGATGGAAATGGGATTGTCGCAGGCTGATGCTGCTAGACGTCTCAATGTGTCTCGTAGTGTTGTTCAGCGACTTTGGGATCAATACCAATCCGAAGATTCTGTGTCCAGAAGACCTGTTCCAGGCCGACCACGAGCTACAACACCTGCAGAAGACCGTTTTCTAGCTCTTTCGGCACGAAGGAGAAGAACCACTACTGTGCCTGCAGACCACTTTCAAGCATCAGGAAGAAGAATCTCCGCTACTACGGTGCGAAATCGTCTTCACAATGCAGGTCTGTATGCAAGAAGACCAGTTGTGTGCGTTCCCCTCAACGGACGACAGCGAAGAAATCGCTTATGCTGGGCAAGAGAACATGTTTCTTGGACGCAGCAACAATGGGCTTCTGTGCTGTTCTCACAGACGAGTCCAGATTTACAATGGAGAGTGATTCAGGGCGTCTACTGATCTGGAGGGAACAGCGCACTAGATACCATCAATCCAACACTGTTGAAAGACACAGTTATAGAGGTGGTGGAATCCTGGTTTGGGCAGGGATCTCGCTCGGTGGCCACACTGACCTGCATGTGTTCCATGGAGGAACCGTAACTGGTCTTAGATATCGGGATGAGATCCTTGATCCATATGTCCGCCCCATATGCTGCTGCTATTGGTAACGACTTCATTCTGATAGATGATAATACACGACCTCACCGAGCTCGGATTGTTGAGGAGTATCTGGAGGATCACGTTTTGGAACGAATGGAATGTCCAGCTCGATCTCCAGACCTGAATCCGATAGAACATCTTTGGGATTATCTTGGCAGAAAGGTTGCTGCTTTAAATCCTCCTCCAAGGTCATTACATGAGCTGAAACAAGGCTTACTCTGTGTCTGGTCTTCGCTTCCTATTCCGGTGTCCGACAACTTAATAAACAGCATGGGAAATCGATGCCGCCAATGCATTCAAGTTAGGGGTGGAACATTCCTTATTAGAACCCATTTTTGTATTGTTTTTATGCCATTTTACCACATAACACTGTGATGTGCTGTTTTCTCCAAGAATGGACTTTTCCGCAGAGATTGCTTTTTTTGTTATAAATCGTTTTTGCAATACACTTATACAAATTTCTATGACGCATTCAATAAAAAACTATTTAATGCACATATCCTCCAAATTTTTTGTTTCAACATTCATTCATTTGCAAATTACACAAAAACCCGGTTGTACCTTAACTTTTTGAGGCCAGTGTATTTACAGGCAAAATATTATAATCGAAGCATTTTTCACAAAAGGAGAATATTTTGAAAATGCGTCATTCTATGTTCATTTTTGTCAAAATATTGTACTTAAATAATTTTTTATTGTAATACTATTCTGAATACAATTTTACATACATTTTCTAATCGAAGTGACACTAAATATAATAAATATTATTCATTTATACGCTTTTGCAAAATCACGATTCCGATCGTATTCGGATACCTCAAGACAATCTCCAAATTGACTGACGTAAGATGCGTAGGTGAAAATTGTTTTTTCTCGTATAACTGTGTTTGTCCAAAATTCTCGATATATTAAGAATGAACTGTCGTATCTTGGATCGCTACAGGTCAAATAGATAAGCTGAATTGATTTTGATCTCCAAAAATGATTGACATTCATAAATGAATATTGACATTTTCAGATCTAGAACAGATGTGTTGCGCTTTCATAATTAACGTTCTTGAAATTTGTGACGTACTTGGTAAAAGATCTGATCTAGGTTTTTTTTTTTTTATTAATTTAAATAAACTAGTCACGCACACATTACCCACCTGCTTCGTGGAGGTTATCATATATTGTATGAATATATATTGTTTTTAAGTTATTTTGATCTCAAGATTAAGTTATCTTGGTAATTAAGCTTTTAATGTATTGTGAAAAATATTCCTGGATTTCGTTCTAGATTTTTTAAAAAAAGGCCGTGGTAGCCTATTGATCAAGTTAACGGACTCGTGGTCGGTGTGTCATGAGTTCGAGTCTAGTACCACTGAAAACCCACCATGTAGGGGAGCGATGCACGTTAAATCTGTTAAGAGATCAAACGTTCTCCCTTTGGTTTGGTATGTTAGGAGAGGGAGGTGCAAGCACAGGTGTCGTCCTAATCACTTAGCTACGGTTCAAATAACGAGGTCCGTCACCAAAAGCCCTTGAGTAGGTGAACAGTGGACGTAAATATTCACTCGCTCTTGATTTAAAAGGACAGCCCTTGAATTTCAAAAACGGAAGTATGTATATTTATCTTTTCGGAGTTGATTTCTGCAAATCTTATTTTTAGAGGTTCTATAATCATCAAAAGAAATATACTTGAAACTATAACTCGAAAACGGAAATAAGTTTTATTTATACTTCACTCCGTTAGCCATTTCCAAATTTTAAGTCTGTTAGTCTAATCATTTAAAAACGTGAATTTTTATCCGTAAAATCTTAACCTCCCTTAAAAGATTTAAAAAAAACCAATCCTTAGTAGATCGCTAATCAACAGAAGAAATATGTTTACCAAATTTCAAGCTTGTAAGCGTAGTAGTTCAAAAACAAAATTTTGTTTACACCACCCTACGGTATCGCCCTCTCTCTCTTGGAAGTCGATTTCAGCGAAACTCGTTCTTAGTGGATCTCTACTCAAAGAAAGAAACGTTTCCAAACTTCAAATCTGTTTGTGTAATAGTTGAAGCCCAGTGGCCGTGTGTTAATTTATAGCACTTCCTCACCCCTGGCCCGGGGTTCTATCCCCCGGTTTGGCAAGGTTGACTCGGCCTTTCATCCCTTTAGTGGGTCGATAAAATGAGTACTAAGCTTGTGCTTGGGAACTAAACATTGAGGGTTTCACGTCAGGCTGGCCACCTGATCGGAACATCTGCTCATGCATCTCGGTGCCCAAGGCCCTGTAAGCTGAGTTGGGCGCAGTAGGCCTTGGCTCTTATGGGCTGTTGCGCCATTGAGTTTAGTTTTGGTGCAATAGTTTAACCACTAGTTGTTGTTTTTTACAATGACACCCGACTTTTTGAGAGCTTCAAATTTTTTGAATTTTGAGAATTATATCGTTCTTTGGTTTTCGTAGCTTCTTTTCAATCCATTTGATGGATTCATGTATGTGTTTTTAATTTCTTCCTTGGTATGCGCATTTTGCTTATTCAATCGGCCGTTGAGGCCTACAATGACGGAAATGCTCCCTATACTCCATTGCCAAACGTTGTTCAAAGTAACAACTTGATGTACAACGATCAAAGAGGTCTCTAAGCTCAAATAATCACTCCAAGTAATATTTTTTAAAGACGGAATACAACTGATAAAATCATTCTGCACTCGTCTTAAATCTTCTCAAAAATACAAATTTTTACATTATGATTTTGAACATTTTTATCTGTTTCTCTTGTTACAAATCAAGCCGTATCGTTCGAAAAAAACAAACAAATTAAACAGGCAATTCACTTTTTAAAAATTCCGAAACAAATTCCAATTTCCTTTCAAATTGATTCAAATATTGATTAATATCTTTAGGATCAGAATTACCAATGAACTTGCATTGTGGATTATGTATACACTTTCCTGAATGGAATGAATAATTATGGCCTGTAACGTTGTAAACTAGCCTCAACACATGGTAAAATAGACTCATTTATATTGTCATTAAATTAAAGCTTTAGTTTGTCATTTAAGCTTCTAACTTTTCTTCGGCATCTTTTTTTTTTGGTTTCTCGTTAATTTGTTCACTTCAATCATTATTTATACTAGTAAGTAATGTGAAAACGCCTCATATTCTGTATTATTTGGAATATCATTTCACAATTTAATAACTAAATAGTTATCAT